TATTCATTTTCTATAACACTTCTCACTGACTTTTCAAATAAAGAGCACAAACCAATTAGGTTGGAAACACACAGGTGCTAAAGAAAAGCTTGTATATTCAAAGATTATTTTCATCTTCTAAAAATACAGTCAGAGATATAGACAGACAGTTGTAAACTTTGACAATTCTCACTTCATACACTTCAAGATAATGACACGAAAATACAGCTCCATAACACAAAGGATCAGCTTCATTTATAAAAAATTCATACAGGAAAGGGACTATGTAGTTTCAGTTCAGTAACAGCTCTGAACAATACTTTACATGTGATTTTAATTCCATTATGACATATTGATTCACAGGGAAGAAATACATTAATTCCATCACAGTATTCTGTTTAAATTAGCTTCCTGTCTGAACAGAAAAGGTATTTTACACTGTGGTCCCCCCATTGCCTTCACTAAGAACAAACAGATCATTATTAATCTTTTATTTACATTTTACCCGTAATTCAGTAGAACAAAACCACTAGGAGGTCCAAGAAAACAACTATTTCTATTAGAAAGGGAACTAAGAAGCTTGATTTCCAAACATTGATTATTCCAATGTTTAATAGTGAGAACCAGAGGATTTAGGTCCTGTATCTGCACACAAACATCTTGTCAGGTGTTGAAACTTCAGACTAAGCACAGAGATCAGTTGCAGACAAAGAAATAAGTTCACAAGGAGCACTGAGAAGGAGTAGTACACCAGGGCTGCCAAGTGAATTCAACTAAAGAATATCAAAATGTGTAAAACCACAACATACTGGTGAAAGGACCAAACTTTAAGACCGTTTTTACAGTGTTTAGAGATAAAATAACTAAAAAAAACCCCAAAACACACCAACATAAAAAATAAACAAAAACTTCCCCAAACCCATGACTTTCAACTCTAACAAAACTCAGTCTCGTGATCACTGGGATTCCCTTTATCTCACATTAAATCCCCAACTTCTTATCACATTTGTTCTGACATCTCAAACCAAGCCAGATCTGCCATGCACGTGCTCTACCACCCTGCCAATCCTGACAGTCTAGCTAGCAGCTTCTAAAAAAAAGTGAGTTTTTCCCATAAAAGTGAGTTCTGCTCACCTCCTTTCTTCTTCTCTACCAGGTCACCAGTTTTCAAGAAAATTAGGAGCATAGTTACCTTGGGAATTCTATTTGTCTATCAAATCCAGTTGAAAACAGTCAACAGTATCAAACAAGACACTCTATTTTGCTCAGAAACCCAGGCCAAAGCACCTTTTGGGCAAAATGCCTGAATTTAGGGAAGGGAATAAAACAGAATAACCAAGAATCATGCAAAGTAACCTGGTAGAGCTCTGAGGTTCTTATGCACATGTAGCAGGGAGCTCAGAAAAAATTAAGGGAATTCACAGAACATGAAGTCCTGATGCACGACCAAGAACACAACTCCACAAAAAGACACCAGAAACTTGCAAATAAAATTAATACTAACCTATTTTCCTTCTATACATTTTCTATGCCATTACTGTAGGCTATCAGGAAAAAGCTTCCTTTTGTTCTTTGTGTCTGGTCTTTATGTACTCAAGGGTTGCATTCAGCCCACTGTAACTGCACAAATGACAGGAAACACCACAAGCATCAACCAGCAAATTTTGTGACTACGTGCTACAAACAATGACTTTTTTGACTTGTGTGCCTGATTATCCAGCCCCTGATAAACAAGTACTTGTCTCAGTGTACTGAGCTTAGCAAAGCTGGGAGACACATCAGTGTTTTGGAATGACACCACAACCCCTCTTTGCAAAATCTACTGATAACTCATAAACTCCAGGTGTTTTTTTCCAACTTGAACCAGCTTCAGGGAACTGGTATTATAAACATATTCTGATCAGTGATATTGATACAAAAAAAGTAAAAACAAAACTGGCAAGTCAGTGGTTTATAAAAATCATTTACTAATAAGCACACTTACTAATAAGGCAAGTTTTTGGTACTTCCTTTTCAGCTCTGCTGGACTGTCTGATGGTTTGGCTCCCAGGACCTTGTACCAATCCTTCTGTGTTGTCCTTCCAAAGGCCATTCCCTGACTGCCTTTGAAACTGCCTTCTTAGCACTGTGCAAGAAAACCAAATGAAGAGAATTACAACCTGAAACAGCAAGGACGTGTGGCAAACTACAGGATCATGGAACAGACTTTACCCCTCATGCACCAGCACTGACGAGCCAACTCTTCACAAATAGAATCGTTCCTAATTTCCTTACAGGTGCCCTGGATCTTATTTTGTTACTTTTTGAAATCCCAGGAACAAAGGCTTTCCTCTGGCTACTGTGATTCAAGCAGTTAGACAGGAGATGCAATGAGATTTCATTACCAGGAAAGGCACTCTCCTTGCTAGTGAGCTGGAGTCAGAGTCTGTGCCTTAACAAGCCAAGAATTACCAAACTCCTGAAAGTTGCTAATTCGTTTTATATCCAGCATGACTGACAAAACTTCTGAACCCTGTTCAGTCTGGTGCTTTAGGGTGAGCTTCTTTTCCCTAGGTGAAGGTATAATAACCACATCTAGTAATTGCTACACACTAAAAAAGAAAATCTGATACAAGCAGATATTATCAACAAGTCCAAGTCAACTGGGCTCCCAGTAACAACATCAGTATCCTGGTATATAGTTCTCTACATGAGAACTATTGTACAAAAAAAGAGTTTATTCACGTGGCCATTCCCTTCCATGAAGTGATTCAAGTTCTGTTGTGTCTCCTGTCCAAGTTCCTCATTATATCATGTTTCAGCAGCAATTCATTCTTCTTTAAAAATCATTTTGCATGTAAAATGAACTGTTTTGAAGCTGCCTGGGTTATAAAAATGCCTTCTATATAGACACTTTTTAAATTATACACTTTTGATTTTGAAATATGAATATACTGAATATTCAACATATTGAATCCACTCAGTATATTCAATATATTGCATATTCAAAATATATTCAACATATGAAATAATTAATACAAATACATGAAGCATATTCAACATGGAATAATTAATATGAATACATAAAATATATTCAACATATGAAAAAGTGAAGCACACAAAAGTGAGACATTTTGTCACTCTGTGAATGAGGTACACCCAAGAAGACACAAAGGTATATCTCGGTTTTTACATCATGACACTCACAGCAAGGACACTCCATCATCCTGCCGGGTAAGAAGACCAACTTTTTTACTATTAAGGTAAAAAGGCGTGTAAAAACAAGTAAACAAAACCGATCCAAAATATATAAAGTTAGCACAGGTCTCCAAGTCAAACCTAACTCGTTGAGCCATCTATCACCAAGTTAATGGCCCAGGAAGAAAAACAACAAACAGGAGAATTAAATGCCAGTCACAGCAGGGCAGTGTCCGAGCTTCCAGCAGATTCCTGGGTATAGTGGAACCACAACCTTGTGGTAGTTGATTTACCATGAACTCTCTGATGAGAAACACCACCGTCAGCAGGCAAGAGCTTTGTAAACAACCAGGTTTTATAATTTATTTTTTTTTTTAATTGCTGGAAGAAAGAAAAAGGACCTCGGGCCTCCGCAGCGGGCGGAGGGAGGCCGTCGCAGCCCGGGCCCGGCCGCGGTGCCGCGCAGCGCGCCAGGAGCTGCCGGAGCACCCCCGGTCCCGCCGCTCCCCCTCCGAGCCCCCCCCGAGCCCCCGGCCCGGCCCCGCGACACGCACCTGCCCCGCACCGCCGCGCCCGCCGGCAGCGTGCCCCGCGCACCTCGTCCGGCGGGAAACAACCCGCCCGCGGCTCGGCGGGGGAAAGGGGCCAGGCCGCCTCGATTGTTTCCAGCCGGACAGCGGCGGTGCCGCACCGGCAGGAAGCGCGGCCCGGGCGAGGCCGACGCGTCGCCATGGCAACCCCGCGGGGGGCGAGGCCCGCGTTCCCTCGGGAATTCGGCCCTCGGCGTTCGGCCCTCAGGGGTTTTGGCGGGACGGGACGCCGCTCTCCGCCTCGTCCCCACAGCCGCTCCCCGCGCAGGGACAACTCCTCCTCCCGGGGAGCAAACGTCCCCTGGCCCTGCCCTCCCGCGCTCCCTGTCCCGACCCCGCGAGCAGAGTAAGACGGTGGTTTCTTCCTAGGAAATACTTGTCCTAAAGTATAAGAAAGAAAGATAATCTTGATGAAAAAAAAATAATCGAGCTTGGGAAGCGGGACTTTTAAGGACGTAAAGACGTTTCCTCGTTAAACAAACAAACAAAAAGTGAAAACAAAGCTTAAGTTGGTGCTGTAGACTTCAGCCTTCGGAATCTCGGTCAAACCTACTTGGCGAAATATCTAAATATTAGTCCAGAATTAGTCCAAAATTAATTATAATATTCTATAAAGACATATTTCATATAATATATATTTATAGATACGTATTTATAATATATTAAAAATACTATACCTTTAGGTATATTTAATGCAAGAGTACAAGGTACCTTTAGGTATATTTAGGGCAAGAGGCAACGGGCAGAAACTGATGCACAGGAAGTTCCACCTGGACATGAGGAAGAACTTCTTTCCTGTGCAGTAAAGACTATGCACTGGAACAGGTTGTCCAGAGAGGGTGTGGGGTCTCCCTCAATGGAGATATTCCAGAACCATCTGGATGCAATCCTGTGCCCTGTGCTCTGGGATGACCCTGCTTGAGCGGGGAGGTTGGACCACTGGACCCACTGTGGTCCCTCCCAACCTGATCCATCCTGTGGTATCTTTAAGTGTGTATATACACCCTTTGACAACATTTTATGTGACGTGTCAGCACTAAAGCAACTTGTTGTCATTTGTCACTCCCTTTGAACTGTTTAAGTCAGGCTGTACAGACACTGTCAGGGAGAACTGGGGCTGTTGTTCCCAGCATATTGTTCCCCTTAACCACCAGTGCAGGAAGGGTGTGGGACAGTCAGATCTAAATCATGAACATGGAAAATTTATTTAAATTCTTCTTTATTTAAATTCTTCTCTAGGTGAGGATAGAGGTAGGGGTGGAAAATATCAGACCTACAGAACTACTCAAGACCTGGTCATCAGTGTGATTTTTGTCTGTCCTGGTCATCAGTGTCTCTACACAACAGCCAGCAGGTTGGTGTTTTGAGGTCGAATTGGTAACATGAGTTTGTCCATGTTGTCAAAAGGGAACTTGTGTTCCCTGAACATCCTTCAGAACTTGTGTGAGCCCTGGGACAATCCAGCCCCCTCTGCCAACGTGGTGTCAACTTCTGCAGCACCAGTGTGAGCAATTAGATATTTCACGTAAGTCACTGACTTACAGATGAGATGTATCAAGTATGAGCTCATTTATGTAGTCCCTTTTGAAACCAGAATTTACTTCTCAGGCAAATTTCCAGCGTGGTTGCATGAGTTTCCTTCTTGTCTGGGGCTGTTGTGTGAGTAGAGACTGTTGTTGTGGAGGGGGGAAATGAAGCAGAAGCTTGTAAAAGATGCAGGGATGTCTTGGAGATTGGTTATTACACCTGTGCTTTCACCACAAATGGTTAATATCCTTCTACAGACAGGATACATTTACAATATCTGTTATTTATCCTTTATGCCAAAAATTCTTAAATGTTGCACATAGAGTTTTTTCCCATTTAACTCATTAAAGGATTGGTACCCGAAGCCAGTTCATGAAGTAATTTATACTCAATCTATAGAAATTTAAGAGATTGTGAGCAATTGTATCCAGTAGTATAACTACCTGTAATTAGTTGTTGAATATAAAGTTAACAGTGCATGTTAAGGAAATATGAAGTTAGTGGAGCAATTTTGGAGGTGAAACACTCTTTTCTGTGCGTGCTCAGCAGTTCTACCAAAGTAAAAGAAAATAGACCATTTAATATAACAGTTTGGTGTTTATGCACCACAAAATGGTTAGATTATGAAGTTAAATCACTGCAGGGTTATCTGGCCTCGTCTGGTATGATAATTTTTGTGTCTCTGTTTCTTTTTTTAATTTTGGTCTATCCAATTTCAGAAGTCACCACATTATGTTTGGGTTAGTCATAGCTGATCATACCCTGTCTGGCTGTAATGACTTGTGTTGATCAACCTCAAGCCAATTTGGTCATCTTTCATCTCTAGAGATATAAATATTAGTTCAAGATTTATTCAGAGGAAATGGGTGTGTAGGGGAGAGAGAGCAAGGCAAGACTGACAGAACCCAAACACTCCCCATGGCTTTTGGCAGCTCCTGGCTGGTGAGTCAGCAGGCAGTTCAAGTAGGATTTGCTACTTCTTTCCTCTTATGAAGGCAAAAAAAAAGGAGTAGTTAAGTGTGGGGAACTTCCTATGACAGTCTAGAATGTGTGGAGACAGACAGGGAACTCATGGAGAAGACCTGGGTTTGTTGTCCCAAAATGAGAAATAGGACACTCATGTCTGTAAGGAATCAGGCTTCACTAGTTGCTTGATTATCTTAAATTATGTATAAGTGCTGATAATTTCACTGGAGCTGGACACCTAAACATGGTAAAAAGTTTCCTTCTTCTGTTTAACGTAAGATAAATGTAGTTTGGCAGTTTTAGACATTTTTCTGAGAATATATAATGTTTTTAGTGAATGCTTTATTTAAAACTGTCACACAGCATTGTGCTGTGTTGTCATAGAACTGCAGGAAAAGAATTATTTAAAGACTTCACTGGCCTACTGTGTGCTTCTATTACTACAATAAAAGATGAGTACAAATGAGGGACCAGACCAGAATTATTTTATTCTTTTAAGAAACCGCTGAAACATGCAGACTTTGTTAATGATGTTTTTAACTTCTGGAGACAACTGGTATTGTTCAAAATCTTTTTCGGAGTAGTAAACTCCTCTGATTTTTTGGTTTGTGTTGGTTTTGTATTGCTATATATGGAATCATGGAATGGTTTGGGTTGGAAGGGGACCTTAAAGACCATCTTGTTCCAACCCCCTGCCATGGGCAGGGACACTTTCCACCAGACAATGTTGCTTAAAGCCTTATCCAACCTGGCCTTGAACACTTCCAGGGATGGGGCATCCACAGCTTCTCTGGGCAATCTGTTCCTGTGCCTCACCACCCTCACAGTCAAGAATTTCTTCCCAATATCCAATCTAAACCTCTCTCAGTTTAAAGCCATTCCCCCTTGTCCTATCACTACATGCTCCTGTAAAAAGTCCCTCTCCAACTCTCTTGTGCCTTTGGGTACTGGAAGGCTGCTGGAAGGTCTCCCCAGAACCTTCTCTTCTCCAGGCTGAGCAGCCCCAACTCTCCCAGCCTGTCTCCACAGCAGAGGTGCTCCAGCCCTCTGAGCATCTTCATGGCCCTTTTCTGGACTCACTCCAACAGGTCCATGTCCTTATTATTCTAGGGGCCTCCAAGGATAGAGTACATATGTATACAAAAGAGAGATACATAGCTTATAAAAAACTCAGAAGACAAGTCTTTCTAGACTGCTTAGCATCCAGAATGTTCAGAATATTTGAGACATTACAATTTTTGCAACCAATGCCTTTTTAGTGTCAGAAAGGCAGAGTTATTTCTCAGGATTCCTATCTGGGCAAATATGTCCCTCTCTGGGCAGCACTTACATTTGTTAAACTTCTTTGTGCTGTTCTTGATACAAAGCACTGCACCTGAATGGGTCTGTTAGATCACTTGTTTATTTATGTAATTAATGGTTTCCTGAAAGCACAACCTCCTCTGCTATGTTGTTTGTCTTGTAACTGAGAAGAAATAGGATTCATGGGAATAAGGCCTGAAGAAAGCACCAGATCACCTAGTCTGAAATTTTTTATTTATTACAGGACTGTCCCAAGTTCAGTACGTTCTGTCTGACTGTTAATATTAAAAGATGGAAAATTCCTCTCTTGTGAGAAGGTTTCTTCAACACCTAACCATCCTCCTGGTAAAATTGGTTCCTAATTCTAAGCTTGAATTTGCTTGACTTCTATTTCCAGCCTTTATTTCTTCTTGCACGTTTTGCCTTAAACTGTTGTGTTTTAGTATCCGATATATACTGTTAAAATAAGCCCTGAATTTTGATTGGGTTTGATAAATTTAAAAGATTGAGCATGTTTAAGTCATGCACAGATGGATATTTTATCTTAAATAGTTTTTGTAATTGTTCTTCATTTTTTTCACCTTTGTAACGTGGCAGTTAATATCACCAATTAATTGATGTGGCAAGTAATAATATGTATTTCACTGGGGGGTCTCACTGATACTCCTGGTGTGCTGTTTTCATCTTGGCTGCTTAAGTCAGTACAGTGAGAACAATTTTTTCAAATGAAGTTTTCTGTCAGAACTATGGCAGACAACTGACTCAAAAAAATGGTAAAAGGGAAAATTCTGATTCTGTTTCTTGGGAACAATCGAGAGAAAATAATTTGTTCAACACTGGACAATGCTGAACTTCTTTTTTAATCTAGATATTAAAAATCCTTGAAAGAGTTAGGATTATTTTAAAACTAATAGTGGGGTTTTTTTCCTTTTTTTTTTTTTTAAGAGAAAGGGGTCAGAGACCTGAATGTTAAGTTCTTCCAGAATTTGTTTTAATTGGATCAGGTTTGTCAACAGTAAAAAGGAAAAGTTTTGTCTCCCAGGAGATGTGCATATGATAGACTAAATGTCATAATGATGTGAACAAATGAGATGTAACATGCACGGAAAATATATGTTTTCCATTAAATTTCCACAAAAATGATTGAAAATGTCTTGGGAATTATTTAAGCAATTTACAATATTGTTTAAAAAGGTACATCTGGGCACACTGAGTACAGTCTTTTGTCGTTCATTAGCAATGTATTTAATGAGGGTTTTTTTAAGTGATAGATAGTTAAGGTAACAGACAAGTGACAGATTGTTTGTCTTTAACGATTTCCCTATTTCAGGCCCATTACAAAGCAATTAGAAATCTGACAGCATTTTTACTCTGCATTACTGATCATCTAAAGTGATGAGAAATGAGAGGTGATGAATATTAATTGTATATTTTCATATAATTATCATAAATTATTACCTTGTCTAGTGCGCTGCAGGTGGAATAAAATCAATGGATGAAAATTCAGTCAAATATGATAATTTGAAAGATTTCATGACTTAGTTTTTGTCTTCAAAGTGCAGTGTCAATCAGTGTAAACCAGGCATACATTAACTGGGGGAAAGACAAAGATCCTCACACCTTTCCTCTCTCTGCTAGCACTGCTCAGCATGGCATTTACTCTTGTGCCCTGTGACAAATTATTTATCTCTTTTTTTTTGTAGCCTGCCACGTTTACCCTGGGCTTCTATCTATTCCTCTCCAACTTCATTCCATAAATATTTACATATGGCTTGAGCATTAAAACAGTATTAAAAGCACTGGGCTGAACGAGTAGCAGCTATTCTCATCTCTTGTCACCCACTTGGTAAATATGCACTGTAATGTGTTACTTAATTACACTGTGCTTCTATTCTCAGGGGAGCCCAGCCTCAACCAAAAATGAGGAGTGCTCATATGACTTGTTTGTTTAAAGTATGGGCCTTTATTCAAACTGTGTTCTAGAGATGCAGACATCAATAATAGACACCCACAACGAACAGTGGTTACACAATTTTTGCTTGGTTCCACACTATAACTTCTAAGTCTTCATGACACTATTATATCACAGGTCTTGAAAGGTCAAAGGATATCATCAGTGCCTTTCCAGACAGGCAGAAAGATGGCACAAAGATTGAACTGTCGAAGTAACAACGGATTTTGGCGCTCTGTTTTGGAATACAAAACTCCTATAAATTACAGCACTTAGTTTTATAATGCATCTCCTTCATTTACAGTTAGTGGAACAATAATAAAACCAGATTACTGATGCTCAAAATCAGATATTTAGGAAATGTGACTAGTGCTTGTTTTTTTCCCTGGGAAAACCACTTTAGTCTTTTAAGACAAAAACAAGAATGAAATCCCATTTATCTGAGGCAGCAGACCTTACCCATGGGATAATTCACTCTTTTACTGCATTTCCCTGCATACTTCTGGCTCAGAGAAGTGATTGAATTGGAGGAATCATAAAAAGAAGTTATTATGTCACTAAGCCTGCCAGAATCCATGTACTTAAATAAAAACTGCAAGTGCAAATTTATGGGTTTTTATCTTGATTTTCAATGCTTGATTTTGCAAACTTGATAATATAAAAAAACTGCATTTGAAAAATCACGTTATTAACGTGATGTTTTACCTTCCAAAACTGCTGTGTCAGTAAGGAAGTGTGTGGTGTAAGGCTGTGGAGAGTTTTCTCGTGGTGGCAAACCTCACAATCATCTACTGCCTTAATTTGCTTTCTTCGATGACCACAAAACCAGGGTTAAACATGTACTCTGATAGTGACCAGAGGTGGAAGGAAAGGGTAACAAGAGCGAGCACTAGTGTAGATAAAACCTTCAGGGGTTAAATCCTCTGAAATGTGTATTTTTCATATATGTATTAAACACTTTCCTGGGTCAACAGCAGGTAGTTAGTTACAAGCACGCTGTTGTTTGAAAGTAAAGGTCTCATTCATCAGTAAACTGCCATTATTGGTCACACTTTGTCAGTGTGGTATATTCTAATGCCCATTTTCATCCTAAAATGGAAAAGGTAGCATGACTAGGCTGGTACCACCAGGCATCATGGTCGTTGTAAGGCATCTTATTTAAGAGTTGGATCTTGTCTGAAGTCAAGGTCCAACTCTGTTTGAGTTTAAATTATGGATACATAAAAGTCAGCTTATTTTTCCCCCAGTTGTATGCTAGTACATTCTGTAGTAACTGTTGTAATTTCAATCCTAGTTTTGTCATGTAGGCTCAGTAGATTTACTAAGGAATTGCATGATGTTCTGTGAGATTGTAAGAAAGGATTGCTCTGTCATACACATATTTCCCAATATCCTTCTGCAACTGTGAAAGGAAAGAGAGCCATTTTATGGCTTTCCTTTTTTCATGTCTGTCACTGAACACAGAACAGTTTTAATACCCATCCACCCTGTCAGTATTAAAATTGCAGTTGTGCCTGTCCTGCATGTGGATTTTTCAAACAAAAGGACCTCTTTTCTTCCTCTCCCTCTTGTACATATGTTCACATTCTGCTTTAGTCACATGCTGCTAACCATGTGTGTAGAGCCACATGTTATGTCATATTCTTTTTTAAAATTCCTGTAATGAATAGACTGGACAAGACTCCTTTTGTTGCCATACCTGGATCTTTATTCTGATATACTCAAACCAAATATTCAGGGGTTTGAAAAGCCTTTTCAGAACTGGGGATGTTTAATGTCACTTTGGTTACTTGCTACTGCAACTGCAATGTACACAGAGGCAAGGGAGCAACAACTGTGGTGTCCACAAAGCCTGAAAACGTGACAGATTGACAGTATTTCACAGCTTATGTTAAAACCAGCTTCTTTAGAAAGGTAATTATAAAATGAAATATTTAGTTCTGGTATTCGTTTTATTCATTTTATTTTAATGGGCTCTTTCCAAGATAATTGGCTATGTTTTCACATGTTTGTTCAAAAAAAGTACCAGGCTAACTGGCTTTTTGCTTATTTTCTTTAGAGATACGGTTTATAATTTATCATTTGATGTACACTTTTCCATTATGTGGATTCTTTTAAAGGCCAAAGTACTTTATGAGTATGGCAACAAGTAGTAAAGTGCCTTTTAGTATTACAGGGAAGAATATAGTTGCTGTTCCTCAAATGCCATCTAATTATATATTCCTATACTACATATATTTTTCAGTCTTACCTTCAGGAAAACTGTTGCCTCTTCAGTTTGACCTGAAAGGTGTAGTTTGAAGATACAGCTGTGCTGCTCTAATGACCAGTTGTCAGTGAAAGTGGCAAAATTCTTCTGCCATTCCTTCTTCACCTGCTTCAGTCGTGTGCTATAGGAGATCACCTCAGTCAAATGGAAATAAATGTTGCTGAATAAAATTTGCTTTCTTTCTGATTTTTGTAACTGGTACTGAGATTCACCTGGTTTAATATTAAAATTACGTTTCAGCAGTACAGTTGGGGTTTTTTTTGGCTCACAGAATTACTCTGGTCTGCTTTATTACGTTATTGGTACCAGTTACCTTAATGTTGATTGGGGGCTGGGGGAGGTTTTCTGTTGATGTTTCAGGCGAGTTCAGGGCCCATTGTGTTAGACTCTGTACAGACAAATCATTAACAAAATCCTCTCAACAAAAAGTCAAGTCAATCTATTTAACAGAAGATCTAAAAGAAAGAGTAGTTCAAGAAATTTGGGAGGGCAATGAAGCAGCAACCTCTTTGCATCACTGGTCAAGTTTGTGAGACTTATAGGTTTTGTAGCTGTTTTCAATGAACACAGTGTTAAAAGTTGGTCGTGCTAATCTAAATGACATGAGGATGTGTCTGCATTTTGTGGACTGTGAAAATGATCATATATATATATTTCAAATGCAAACATTCATTTAAGAAATGCACAACAGGGCTTCAGTCCTGCAAAGAAACGTGTATACTTCTATTTGCACTGCAGTAATGGGCACATTGACATGCTTAATATTAAACAACTGTGTATGTGCAGAAATTGGCTCTTAAACTGTAAGGCCAGCTTCAGGTTTGCTTTAGTGTTTACTGCTACTGTTGGTTTTTTACTGGTAGCTGTGATTGCTAACTTGTTATACATATCAGCCCAGAAAATCTTGTCCCTGAAAAATAGTGCAGCCAACTGTGTATGTAAACTGTGTGTTGTTTCTTTTCATTAAAAGGAAACATATTTGCAAAAATTGATCTTGGTGCAATATTAAAGCAAGCACTCAATTTAAGAGCTTACTTTGTAAGACTTTGCCAGCAGAGCTTTTGCAGTAACAGCATGAAAGTTTCCTTTCCCCAGGTAATGGATGGCAGATCTTATAAGTAAGAAAAAGATAATTTAAAGTTTTCTCAACTGTCCAGCCTGTATGAATCAATTACAGGTAAAATATTAGACTCTGTGTATGTCCAAAAGCCAGTGATCTGCCTTAGGTTTGAATTAGGTGTAAATTTTGACCTGGACTCAGGTAATTTTATCTGGAAGTCCATTGCATACTTTTCTTCTCCTAAATTATAAAAAAAAAGAGAACTCTTCTTATTAAAAGAAATAAATATTTACAAAGCTCATGATTTCCTGGTGATGTCTCTGTAGAGACAACTTCTGAAACACGGAAGTTTTTCCATTTCAATAGAGGTAGAGGAGATGGGACCAGCAGGGAGAAAACAAGAGGAGAAAAGATGGATTTATTGAAAATCTGATTTCAGGTGTTTCTGATTTGATTGTATGTACAGATAATCAGATTAATCTAAATCCACAAAGAATGTAATTTCTCTCTTTATTTATAGCCTCTAAATTTTCATTTCAGTTTCAAATCTTGCAGCTCCAGAAAAGAGAAATATGCAAAGTATAGAGAGATTCCAAATGAAACTCTGTCCAAATCCCACCATATTCTCAAAAGCTGTAGAGAGAATAATGATAAAAGATTGGTTCAATTTTTGTAAATCACTGTTTAATCATCAGTCTTAAAAATTAACAAAAAGCCTTCACTTTCATTTTGGTTACAATCTTTTGTACTTCTAAACAGGAAATGGCAAACAACAGAAGTCTGATAAGTGCTCAGGAAAAATGCCATATGGCATGTGCACCATCACAAAAAACACGATGAGCTCTAAACTCTGCAAATGTCTTCGTGCCACAGGGATGCACAACCTACATTAGCAAAAAAAACTGTGAGTAAAGCCATGGCAACTTTTCACTCATGTAATTTGTCAATGATGCTTCATTTGCTTCTGTGTGATAAATTGAAAAAATATAATTGACTAAATATTTTGTTAGCCTCAGTCTCGGAATAAGGATGAAGAGACGTGGAACATTTAAAATATTTTTATGGTTTCTCTGTATGATGTACTCTCAGTTTCATTCGAGCATGGGGGGAAATATCTCAAAACCCTACAGGCACGTTGATTTTTAACTTTGGTTCTCTATTTAAAATTTTTTAGTTCTGAAAAGTGTTTGTGAATCCTTCATTCTGGGTCCACCTGCAGCTGACTTAGTGGTCTTGGAATCTAAAATAATTTTCTTTGTCTTCTCACGTCTCTTTGTCTCTTTAGATACCAGCTCTTGCTCTTCGGTCAAACAGCAAACCGGAACATAGGGCCGTGGTGTTTGTAATTGATTTCGGTCAGGAGAGCTGAAGATACTTTTGTAGCGGAGGAAGCATAAGAACGATTAAAAATGACAAGGTACGGCACGGATTTATTGAAGGGGAGCGATCCCAGTGCGTCTGGAGAGCCCTCACCAGGGCTGTGCCAGGCGGGCAGCCTTGCCAGGGAGGGGCAGGAGCGGGGCTGGTGACAGGGTCACACCCGTCTGGTGACAGGGTCACAGCAGGGCGGGGGGTCACTCCTGGAGCGGAGCAGCAGGACGGGGCAGGACAGGGAGAAGGGCCGCGTGTGTGGGGCCCGGGCAGCCCCCGCGGGAAGGAGCGGCCCCGCGGGGCCGTCTGGCGGCTCCCCCCGGGCCCTGGGAAGGGGGATCCGCTCGGCTCCGCTCTGGCAGAGCTGGCCGCGAGCCCAGCAGCCAAACCCCAGAGCCAAACCCCTCCAGCCACCGCGGATCCCAGGGTGCTGCTCCCCTTTCTGTGCCGCACAGAGAGCAGATGGCAGACACTAACTTGTGCAAGTACGAGTGACACTTCAGCTTCAAACTTCTATAGGGTTTTTTTGGCCTTGTTACCTACCCAGCTAGTAAAACTACACTATGGTAGCTCAATTATCAATTTCTTTAGGAGCACTTGTGTCTATTCCCATTTTTCGCCCCCATTTCTTTTCCAAAGTGTGGCATCTTCATTCCTTGGACATAAAGTAGTTTTTGTCTGATCTGTGTCTCTGGGATGAGACAGAAGAGATGCATTGGGTGCTGTCTAGTTTCTTGGCTAATTAAGAAGAGAGAGTAAATGCTCTCAGATTATTGCTATAACCAAAAAGAACTGATCAAACATTTTCTTGTGCATTAAGCACCAGTTGCTTCCCTGAGCAGTCTGGTTTCTTTTCTTTAGTGTACTGGAGAAAAAGTTTCCATGGCCAGAGGTCTGTGGGATGCCAGGGTTTCAGTGGGGAAGTGACAGAAAGGAGAAACAGTTTCTTTCTATTCATCAGCTCAGAGATCCAGTGTAAAATTTTCATTCAAGCCTTTGGCAAAATTCCCAATAATCTCACTGGGACAAGAGTTTCACTCGCAGCCTGTACTTATTAGGTTATTACTCAGCATGTACTCATTTAGAATGGATTCTAGTTTCGTGATAGCCTGTAATTGGAAAGAGTGTTAGGAGAAAAGTAGAAGATATGTTTTTTATTTTTGTTTTCTTTTCATAAAAGGAAAACAATCATCACTTTTTCTTTCCAGCTGCTGTATGAGCTGAGATCAGTTTAGTTTACTTGGTAGGTGTGAGGTTTACAGCATTATTTGTTGAAGAAGGTCCTTCTCAAAATGATAAAGATTGTGTGTGTAAAGCTGTCCTTTGTTGAGTGAGTTATTATGAAGGCAGCTTCCCAAACATTGAATTTGATAAACTATCGGGTTTTGGTTTTTACCTTGTAAAAAATGTGTACTGTGGGTTTCCTGTATAATGGAATGAAATTTAGAATTTTCACAGGTCTTATGATGATGTTAATGGAGACCTGTACCAGAAAATGTTTCAGGACCATAATATATGAAACATCCTCTGCTCACTTATCAATATAAAAATATATTAAAATGGTTATCTGGGGCATACATGCATGCAGTGCAACAAAAATGTAAATGCAAACAAATATAAAACTCATACGACAGCTCAAGAAAAACAACAATGCAAACAAATAATGAATAATATAAGATTTGCTTAATCCCTCCATCATGGTTAAGATCTGATATTGCCATTATTTTAATTTTTAGTACCTTTAATAGATAAACAAAATGTCTTTGCTGTTTAGACAATGCTTTTCTTGAGAAATCCAACACAAAGTACAAGTACAGAAATAAAAATAAGGTAAATGTAAGCAGGAGAATATTGAAATAAATCCCTATATCTTTGGAGCAACTACTGAAAAAAAATAAAGCAAAGAATACATGCTTGTCAAATATGCAGTATAAATAAATAATTTAAGTGAAAATGGATGACTAGAAATAACAAAGAGAAGAGCAAATAATGAAAGGCTAAAGGGTGGTTGTTACATCTGATGTACTTCGTTGTATATTGTAAGTAATTGCTATCCATAAAAAATCCCATGGCTTCACTATAAGAAAAAGAGACAATTTGACAGGCAACACTGGCAGCAAGAGACAGCAAGTACAAATCCTTGGCAACTGTGATTATCCTGCTGTTGAATTCACGTCCCAAACTGTGTGATAACTTTGACCTGTATCGCTGGTACGGAACCAATGTCTGTTACAGTAACTATATTTTTCACTTATCAAAGGAAATCATTAGCCATGTGCAGATTTATGTCTTAGAAAATTGTATGGACTATTTATTTACTTCTCCTTAGTACACTGTTGTTTTCTATTTAAAGAAGAAATATGGAGATGTGCTTTGGTTACACGATAATGAGTAATTAGAAAATTGCACCGGAGCAGCGGAATAGAAATTTTGGTCTGATGTAGCTAAACAATTTCAGCATGTAGAACTAACTGAAAGTAGAAGTTCCTTTTGTAATAATTACAAAAAAGCCTCAGTGTTTTGGCCATGAATAAACAGCAGTTTAATTGCTTTTATATGGGAAAAAAGAATTGTTAGAGCTCTGCAGGTTTTTAGTTGTTTTCATTTCTTTTCCTGTTTAAAGTTCTGGTTTCAAAATCTTTTCTCTCTGTATCTCTATCTGGGCATCTTTCCTTGTGCTGTAGAAATAGGATCACAACATCTTCATGTTAGCAGCTAGCAAAATTTTCCTTTAATATGGAGTAAAATTCTTCCTGACTAGTGAATACCATTTCAAACTGACTCTTTTATGCAGTTTCTACATATTAAAACTTTAATTTTATGGTGTTCAATCTCCAGGAGAATGGGCACCGGAGTTACATCTAATCTGAGGTTTCTCAAACTATAAAACAGCTCAGCAGTGCAAGGGTAAGATTACTTTTGGTAATTGCACTCTTGCATCTTCTGTTTGAAACCACCTCAGTGAAGGAATTGGAGTGTGTGCACAAGTACCCTAAGGTTTACATACACTGTACACATAAATAGTTGTTATGAGGGGGGAAATTGTAAGGAAAAGCTGGACAAGGACTGGGGAACAATAATACCTGTGGTATATTCCTTGTATAGTGTAATTTAGTGACAGTAGGTGTTGAAAATATATTGTTGAAAATATAGGCATACAAAATGTGTGTTGAAAATATTTGCTACACCAGCCCTCTTACCTGAGGGTTTACTTGTCCTGTGAGCAAGGTCCTTGGTGGGTAATGCTAACAGTATTGTTTTTATTCCATCAGAGTAGTTTGTGAGTGGCAAGTTACGATTTTATCTGGTAAAGAATCAAGGAATCTACAGAGTAAATAGTGGCAATTAATACATTTTTATTGTATAAAGAAATTTCTTCCCGGTTTTGTGGTTATTTTCTGCTTTTGAAGTGGGTAACAAAGTGGTCTTTTAAGGAAAAGAGTACTTGCAAAAAATAATGTCCTCTTGCTGTCACTAGTCAGAATGAAAACACAGCATAGTGTGCTCAGATATCATAATACTAAAATGAGTTTTCTTTGATTGAACTCCAATATTTAATATTCCTGAGACAGTATATTAGTTTAAGGATTTCCTAGAAGGAAATACTGCAATTCATGTGGACAAATGTTAAAGTTCCCATTTGTTGTGATATCATTTTTGTAATTTATAATGGGAATGTTCTGAAACTTTAGAGTTGTTTGAATATGAAAGGAGAATGAGGGCTTGACCTCATCCAATTCCTTTCTTGCTTCATCTTGATCTTTAATACTGCTCTTGGCACAGTTACACTAGTGCTGATTTGGGTCTCCCAAAGACTGGATAAAATTAGATTGCTTGATCTTCATATGGGTGAATATTCCATCCAGGCTTTTGGCCTATGGTACAAAGTAATTTTGTGCCATTAATAGTAGCCTCAAATTGAAAGTTGGAGGCTTTTGTTCTCATTATCTTTAGTGTCTTTATGCAAATAAAACCTTTTTTTCCAGCTTATGAGGTAATTTAATGTTCATTTTGTGCGAAGGAAGGCTAGCATAGTCTTCATGCTAGTGCAGTGTGGCATAGCTGGAATACCTGCAGTACTTCACCATAATCCTGTCCTACAGCACTTTATACATTTCCCTTCTGATCTTGGCTTGTGCAAAGATTAATTGAGCTGAATTATGAAATAATGTTACAGTTTGCAGAAATAGGAATTGGTTTCATAAGGTATTTTGCAACTTTGATTAAGATATTGTAGGCTTTTCTGAGCTCTGTACAGTTAATTAGTACTAATTTAAAGTAGTTGAAAGTCCAGAGCAAAAAGATAAAATTTTAACCACATTTATCATATTTCTGTGTCAGAAAACCTTTCCCTCCCTGCTCAAAAAAGCTGTTAAAATACTGAAGGGAAGCAGAGCTCTAGACAACTTCTATTTGCCCACAAGGTTTGCCTGCAATCAGCAATGGTATCAAGCAGGTCAAGACTTCAAGATTGTTTTACACATCAAACCAAATCAGTTCAGAGCTGTGATGGAGTATCAGATGTATAGACAGCTACAAATCAAGCAGTACAGACAATTTCTGTCTTATATCACCATCCAAGAGAAACAGAGCTGAAAGTGTTCCCACAGGTCAACTAAGGTAATCAAAGCTCTTCTCTGTTGCTTTTAATCAAGAGTGTTGCAGTTCAGTCACCTTGTAATAACCATTCAGTTGATATTCTAAAACAGATCCTGCTAATTTTTATTAAGATTTCTTGACCTAGCAATTTCTCAGGGCATATAGTTTTTAAAACCATATTGATTCCATCAAACGTTCCTGGAGGACCCAGTTACAACAATCAGGCTTCCCACTTGGTTTTACAAATTTTTAAGACTTAGCAGTAGACAGGTAATATCCAGCAAGTTGACCCCTCTGCAAAGAAGAATGTGATTCTCCATAATTAATCCAAAATGAATTGATCCTGTCTGTCTGGAAAATCCAAGAGAGCAATTGGATTTTGCAATGTACCATAAAGGTGATTAAGGAGAAGACTTGGTGAACAAAAGTGTACTGGAACGTGTTCAG